TCGCCGGAGCCCGTGCAAGACGCAGCCCCGTCCACTCCGGCGCCGGCGCCCAAGCGACAGCGGACGGCCAGGGCGAGGCATGGCCGGAATGTGGACTGAGATGCTTCTGGCATGGACCGGCATTTATAAGATTCGAGAGTCTGCTGCGGCCTTGCGCTGTCCAAAAGAACCATGTCGATGGCATGTGTGGGTAAGCAGTGGTGCAACAGTTTTCTGCGCTGTATAGGTTCCTGTCTGCAGTTCCTGCGCTTCTGTTGTGCAAGGTCAGGGCGTCCCAGTCTGCAGCCACTGTCGGCTCAAGCCTCTCCCCAGCTGCGCGGCGGTGCCAACCGGCAGAAGGCGCGGCCAGTTTTAGTTTAGGGTTTAGGGTTTAGGGTTTGAGGTTCATTATGTATAGCAGCATGTATATATAGGCATGAGGGTTTAGAGTCAGAGCCGGTGCGTCCAGCAGCTACGGCTGCACAAGGCTCCCGCAAGTCGAGACCACGGCTTCCTTGCAGGAGGGGCCGACCACGGTTTCCGCTGCTGAGCCTGATGCCTGCCTGGCAGCTACGGCTGCCGGCAGCGCGTGCACGGGGGACTACGGTTTCCCGGGCCGGGCAGACTCGCGTGAGACCACGGTTTCCGCGAGGAGGCTTTCCTGCGCTACGGCGCAGGGGACTCTGCTGCTACAGCAGCTTCGTCGTGTGCGCGGTTTGTTCTTTCTTTCCTTCCCTTTTATATAAAACACATGTATTTTTATACTCCCCCAACCCTCATTTTGTGCACATGTCCTTTGCGCCAGGTCTCCCAATGCCGGCGCCGAAGGAACGCTCTTCCAGCAGCCGCGACAAGCCCGACGACAACGAGGAATCGTCTTCGGACGAGGAGAGCTCGGCAGAGGAAGCGCGGGCGGAGGAGACGACTCGAGGCTTGAAGCCAAAGGCCAAAGCTGGACCCTCCCCAGTGCCTGAGGAAAGGGTCGCCTCCGTGCTTCCTGTGCCGGGCCACAAATGCTGGGCAGAGCCGAAGGAGCCTCCCAAACAGGTTGTGCTGGTTCCTGACGAGCCGGATGCCAGGCGCAACAGAAGCCGGGAGCGCCGGGGCCGTAGCCGGCAGAAAAGGAAGAACCGCAGCCGCAGCCGACACGGGCGCCGCGGCCGCGCTACGGCAGCAAGAGCCGTGCGCCGGAGGAGCCGCAGGGCCATGGCTATGGCAGTCTGAGGGGCCCAGACCCACTGCTGAAGCCAATTCCGGGCCGCAGCCGTCGTCGTGAGGAGGACAGGCTCTCGAGGCGCCGCCGCCGGGAGAAGAAGGCTGCAGATGGGGACGGCAAGCCCAAGGCGGAGGAATTGGGAAAGATGACCTGCCGCGTTTGCTGGCGCGAGATCGAGAATCAGCCGGCTGCCAGGCGCCAGCACAGGTTGTCGATCCACCATCGATCCTGGAAGTATTTTGCTATGAGCCTTCCATGGGCTGACAGCAAGGCAAGATCTAAGGCCAGGTACGCCGAGCACTGGCGAGCCGACTTTGAGGATGGCTCCCAAGAGTCAGACCTGCCGGCCGACCTGCAGAAGCAGCTGAAGCCCCACCCTCGCGGCCCCGAGCTGGTCCTCAAACAAAATAAAATAAGGGGAGGTCGAAGAAGAACAAAAAGGAAAATTTCGCCAGGCCTCCAGCAGCCCCGCGAAGGACCGAGATGGCGATCCCAGACCCCGCCTCCTTCACCTGGAGGCAGCGGCGGGGGTGGCGGCGAGTACGAACGAGCCGTCACGTCGCTCTTCCAGATCGCCTGCTCAGAGCTCCGGGCTGCGTATTGAAAAGGCTGCGCCTCAGCCACAGCCTCGTGTGAGGCCTCGGGCCACGGCTCGGATATGAGCGCCAACAGCGCGCAGGGCTCCCGTAGCTGCGGGTCTCCAGCTGCCTCGGGACACTGTTAGACTCCTAGCTGCCAAGCTCTTAGACTGGGTTTAAGACGACAGCTTGCAGGCTTCGAGCCTCCTGGAGACCCTAAAACTCTTCCACTGGCACTCTCAGATTGCTGCCCCAGCTGGCGCCGGAGAGCGAAAAAAAGGCGTTGGGGCTTGCCCAGGATCGGGTCTAGGTAAGGGAAATTTGGGTTCGGAAGACCTTAAAAAACTAATACGGAATAGGTAAAGTCAACTTTTCTTGGTGCCAAAAAATTGACATATCCAAGGTAATGTCAATTTTTTTGCACGAAGAACAGTTGATATTGCTCTGGCAAAGTCAACATCAAGAAATTCATGGTTTCAGGTGGAGTTGACATTGTATAGGCGATGTCAACTGGGTTTACAGGGCACAGAAAAATGTTGACATGGCCCAGGCAATGTCAACAGTACATGACAGCATGAGTCTTGACATATCCCAGGTAATATCAACTTTTTAGGACACACAAAAGTTGACATTGCCCTTGCCAAGTGTTTATTTTGCTATCTGCCTCAACCGATTCAAAAGAGATTTCGCGGCGATTTCTGGTAGGATTTGGAGGCCGAAAAAGCTTTCAGCTTGCTGCTCCTCAGCCGTTTTCAGACTCAAGCCCAGCCGCGAGATCCACTGCAGACCCCCCTGAAAGCTTGTCTGTTGAGGCCACCTAAGCCCTTGGAAGTAGGCGGACGCAAGACTCTGCATGCCCCTGCTAGCTAACCTTCCCCTCTTGGTGCACAGCCGCTCAGTTGGAGCGATATGTCCCTTGCGCCATAGACGCTAGCCCTGCCCGGAGGGCGCCTGGGCTGCTCGCATGAATGGCCAGTGCGTCCACGGACCGGCCGAGCAAGCTGCAGAAGGTAGCTCGACTGAGGAGAAGCTTGCCCCACTTGACAGCCTCCGCACTGTCGGAAGTATGCAAAACAATGCGGTCGGAAGGAGTGCCGGACTTGACTCAAAGAAAACACATCGCAGAGGCGGCCAGGGCCTCTCTGCGGGATACAGGACATGGCCCCATAGTGGAGCACATGGAGCTCACCCAAAGCAATGGCGCCCAGCTGCGCGTTCCCAGCGTTAATTTTTGGGCCCTGCTGCAGCAGGCCATCTTGGAAGCGGACAGCAGCTACGCCCGTCACTTTTGGGCACAGGTGCTGGCGCACCCTCCTGGTCCGGACAATGCGTGGCGCCTCGTGCTTTACTGCGACGAGATTGTTCCGGGCAATCCTCTGGCAGTGCAAACGAAAAGGAAAATTTGGGCTTGCTACGGCAGTTTTCTAGAAATGGGCGCCCATACACTCCAGCACGAACAGGCCTGGCTGTGTTTGGGGCTGCTGAGGTCGAACCTTGTAAACAAAGCCGAGTCAGGTGTGTCTCAATGGATTTCCTGCATCCTTCCAACCATTTTCCAGCGGCCAGCCTACGATCTTCGGCATGGAGCCGTTCCCTTGCAACAGCCCAATGGGGGAGTGCTCTTGTTTCGCTTGGACCTCTCCATGATCGTTCAGGACGGGGCCCACAAGTTCCTGTGGAGCTGCAAGGGCGATGCTGGGACCCGCATGTGCATGCTATGTCGGAACGTCCTGGCGCAGCGTTGCGACATCTTGGAGAGCAGCGGCCTGCCCTTGTGCGGGTCCTCGGAAATCCGGGAGGAACGTTTACTGCTCAGCAGCGACGAAAGCATCTATGAGGCCATGGACAAGCTCGTCCGCAAGAAAACAGAGCTGACTGCTGGGGATTTCCAGTTGTGGCAGCAAAGCACGGGTTGGAATTATCAGCCCCGCTCCATACTGCAGCAGCAGGACCAACGATGGCTGGTGCGGCCCGTCTCCCAGTATTGCCACGATTCCATGCACGCTCTGCTGGTTAGCGGCGTCTTTCAGACAGTCGTCTGGCTGTTGCTGTCCACATTGCAGAGACAGTTTCCTAACATTTGGGAGATTGCAAATCGCTATGTGGAGAAATGGACGCTCCCTGCGGTGACGAAGCACACGGCCCGGGGCCTGCTGGATGAGGGCAGAGCTAAAGTCTGCCGAGAGAACGAGGCCTTCAAGTGCACTGCGTCGGAAGGTCTCACCTTGTCTCCTCTGCTGGCAGCTTTTCTGCGTCAGCTTGTCAGAGCCCAAAGTGATGTGGAGGCCATTTCAGAAGTACGCTGCTTTCTGCAGTTGGACAAGCTGGTGGCCTGCTGTCAGCGAGCGCGCGCTGAGGATGCTGTGGCGCCGGCGGAAATGAGAACCCGCGTGCGCGGCTTCCTGACATGCGTGATTGCTGCAAATTGGCAGAGCAGCATGCATGCCAAATTTCACTGGCTGCTGCACTTCGCAGGTCACCTGGCCAAGTGGCGGTTCATGGTGCAGTGCTTCACGCACGAAAGGAAACACAAGACTATCAAGAAGTTTGCAAGTGATTTCTACAACACTCGCAGCTTCGAAGATGGGATGCTCCGTGAAGTGCTAGCGCAGGAGCTGCATGATCTTGCACTGGCCGATTGCCTGGAGCCGGGACTGCGACTCCTGGACCCGAAACCATGCGCCAGGAAGACAGCTGACGCCATCCGGACGTGCCTTCCAGAACTCACGGCAGCCAGAGTCGTGCACACTGCTGCAGCAGTTCGCTTGTGGTCGGGCGAGCGCATCTCTCGAGGCGACGTGGTGCTCCTGCAGGGGGCAGGCGCGCTCCAGTGCGGCCAAGTGTGGGCGCTCGTGAGCCTGCCTCGCGGACCGCACGGCCTCCTTCACTCCGTGTCAGACGTCTCGCACGACGGCGACCAGGGAGAATGTCGCCTTGTAGAGTCCCTGGAACTCGTGCCATGCAGCGAATTTCTGGGTTCCTGCTGCTGGCGAGACATTGCCAGCGCGAGAAGACTGGTCCTGCTGCCCGCCTCGCTGCGCTGAAAAAAATGTCCATGCCACCGTCAGCACCATGCAGCTTCTTCACCGGCACACGCATGGGAGTGCCTCCTCTGCCTGATAAGACATATACTTTATAGGTTCCTTGCACATATACTGCTGTGTTTCCTCTCAAGCGTACATGTAGGCGTCCCCCGGGCTGCTATAGGATCCGTCTCGACCAACGAAATGGCGCAGCAACTGCACTCCGAGATAGAGCCCATGGCGCAGTGGGCAAGGACTGGGAGTAGCGAGTCCTTGGCCGCGCTCGTGACAGCCTGGTGCAACCGGATGCGGGCCTGCCCAGCCTTGTCCCTGCAACAAGGCATGTCTGTGAAGAAGACAATCGCCGACTTGAGTTTCCCCGAACAGCAGCGGACGGAGATGCTTCAGGTGGTAGAAGCCAAAGTCATGCAGTGCTGCGCGGAGGCGGAAGCGCCCAAAGACGTCAAAGGACAGCTGCTGCTCAAGCCCAGCAACTACCTGACCGCGGCTGACTGGGGAGGCCTGGAAGGCGGCACGGGGCCTGCTCGCTTGCAGATCCTCCTGAAAAGGTACTTGAGCCTGGGGCTGCTCAATTTGAAAGAAGGAACCATCAAAGCGGGCATGGCCCTGCTTCTTGCTCTCGCCGCCCCGACAGCGCGAAGCATGCCGTCCTATGCAGAGATCTACGATCAGGTCCAAGTCTTCAAGCGAAGCTTTGAGCAATTGAAGGAGACGCACCTTGCAGGTCCTGGCAAGAGCCAGCCTGTCGGCGTGCTCCGCTACCCTGAAAATGCGCATGATCTATCAGAAGAACTGTTCAAAGCGGCCTACCCTGATGGCCATCCGATGTCCAAGGATATTGGCGCAGACATCTGGCTCGCGCACATTCCCATGCGGAGCACAAGCAAACTACTCAAGGGCCCTAAGAACCCTCCTCCTGAGTGTTTGCCGCCTGCCTCAGACACCGACCGCTTTGAGAGTCTGCTAAGCCAGACGTTGGATAGGGTTTTCAGCCTCCATGGGCCTTTGGGCGCTGTGCTTCAGAACCTGCCCCAGACCACCAGTCGGCGACCACTGGACCTGGCCGCAGGCGCCAGTGTGCTGAGGCCGCATGTACCGCAAATGCACACAGCACGGTTCGAGTGTAGTGTAGGCATGGATGTGAAATGTGCTGCAACGTAGGACACCCTGGGGACGAACCTCCGTCGGCAGCTCTTCGTGCGGTCCTGCCACTTTCAGCGGCCAAGCCAGGCAGGAACCCTGCCTTGCTCTGCAGGACCAGGATGCACCCAGCACGCAGCAACCGACGGACGCGCCCGTCGGAGCCGGACGCCATGCAGACCCATGCACGGCCGCAGCCAGCACCAATGCCCCGAATGACGCCCCCCGCACCAGCGAAGAGATGGACGACGAGGACATCTTCAAGGAGCTGAAGAACCGCCAGGCCGAGAAGCAGCAGAACAAAGCTTGCAAGCGACCTGCAGCCTGCCCTGGCCCCAAGACAAAGGCCGTGCCCGGCAATTCACAGAAAGGCAAAGGCAACGGAAAAGGGCAGAAGGGCCCTGCCAGCAGCCCCTCCACGGAGAGCGAAAAGAAAGCAAAGGGCAAAGGGGCCACATCTCGCAACCACCCTGCTAAAGCAGAGAAGAAGCCTTGCCTTGCTGCCAAGGACCTGGGAACCTGGGGCATCCTTGAAGTGTACGCGTCCCGCATGTATAAACGAGCAGAGACCTGGGCCAAACAGCGAGGCCTCTCCAAGGAGAAAACACTGCAGGCAAGCCGGACGGCTCACCGAGAGGCATCCGCGCTTTGGAGAAAGAAATCTGGATGCTGACCTTGGATGTCCTCGAACATCCGTTTCTGAGAGTTCCCAGCGCAGGACTCAGTGCTAGCAAGCCCAAGTCCGCACGCTGTTTGCTGTACAGTTCAAGATTTCCTCACGCGCGCCGGGGGTTGACGCGCAGCGGGAAACAGTAAGCGAGCAAATCAAAATGCGCTGGCATCGTCCTCCGTCATCGGTCTCGCATGCCTGCACCATGCAAACCTCTTGCCTCCTGTCACACATGCTGCTCTTGGCTCAAAACTTTTCTCAGGCGTCTCCTGCATATAGTCTGGGCCAAGCCATGGGGAGAAAAAAAAGAAGACTGTCGATGTGAAGCTCCAGCGACAAGAACATGTCTGCAAGAAGCTGATTTCGTTGTGCATCAGCTCAAGGGGTCCTCCACGAAGAGCCCCGCATTTCTGGCTGACTTTCCCTTGGAAAACCTGCGGAATTGCATACGGTACTTCCTAGCTGACGACGAGTATAAGCCAGAGAAGGAAAGCTTCAGGTGGCTATACTCTCTGGACTGGACGCTCATGCTGGCCCAGCAAGACCTGCATGGTCTGCCCTTGCTGACTGACAGCCGGGAATTTGTTTGTCACTCCCAGCACATGGTGATATCAACTCCCAGACATGCCAACGAGTGGCTGCTCATGGGCGAGTTGGCTAGCGCTGCTGTTTTTGTCAAAGACTGGGACCATATGGAGTGGCTCAAGCTACGGCTTGAAATGCTTCGAGCCTTAAAAACAGCACCGAAAACCTTGGATCTCCATGCATGTGACTAGCGCGCGGATGCCAAGCAAATGTGCGAAACTGCGCCCCAACTTCTTGCGCGCTCGTGCACGCACAAGCTGCCGGCGAAATGCCACGAGCCACCTGAGTGAAGGGAGCCAAGGGGGGTTGGGCTGACATCTGAAGCTACGCGTCTCACCTGTGCGGGATGAGGACACCTTCCCTGAAAACTGAAAACGCGGAAAATAAAATCTGAATTCCAGCTGTTGCTATTGCATGGAAGCCCCTTTCATAGAACACCCGAACCCCCCCTTGTCACCACCTTGCAAACCCCCTTTTATAAGCACATAAAACCCCCTCTTGCTAACTCCGCTAACTCCCGCTAACTGGATGTAACTCCCCTAGCTAAAGTGGCTAACTAACATAAGTCCTAGCAGGCCCCCGGTTCATCTAAGTAGGATAGCTGGGGAAGCCCAGTCCGAATTTTACTGGTGCCGAAGGTGAGATTGGGGGGAAGATCTCTACAATAAGTAGGCTTAGGGTTTACCTGTGAATCCCCGAG